ATCCAATTGGAGAAATTGTCTCTCAAGGTTAACCTAATTGGAGCAATGGTTCCTTAATTTTAACTCATGTAGCAACGGTCCTTCCACCATGACTCATTTTGACTAAAGTTTTAACGGAGTTGACGAAAGGACCATAACTGCACATTTTGATAAGTTAAGAGACCAATAATCACGGATTTTTAGTTGAAAGACCATTACTTTACATTCTCCATTTTATTGCCCGAGTTAGCCCGCCTTTGTGTCACGGGCCTGACCCTATGTCTAAGTCCAATAGCGACTAACATGTTCTGAGCCCAGAGGCCAGCTCGGCCAATTTGTGACCATCGAAATTATCTTTTTCTTCTTTTAGCTTTAGTGCAATGTTTTTGGTATAAATGTTGCATTTATCTAATAGACTTAAATGTCAAAATGGTTCATGTGTTATAGTCATTTGGCTAATTTAGTCCCCATGTTTCTAGTTTGGCCAATTTAGTTCTCGTGTTTATCTCTGTTAACCCATTAAGAACATTCTGCCCAATCTTTGTTAAAAATTTAACAATATTGTAACCTATTATATAAAAATATTCTCAATTAAAATAGAAAAATATATAATTTCAAAATGAGAAAAAAAAATTAAACAAACTTACCATGACATCCAACTTGTCCTTGACCCGACCCCAACCCTAGCCACACACATGCGGGCAACTCAATGAACACGTCTCTAGATCCACCGTGACTCTACTTGTCACCGCGCAAGTTCCATCTTCGTAGTCACAAGAAAATTAACCCCGACTACCTTGCCTCTGACTGTGTAATCGAGAAAAATACCGCAATTTTCCCTTTCTCTTTATTTAAATTTAAATATAAAGAAAATGCAAATCAACGAGAAATGACACACATAAGAGATAAGACTTGTAATCTAAAAAATCCTTAGGGTTGTGACATAGAAAAGAGTGGGGGTGCAAGAAAATTGGGAGAGTAGAGAACGTTAGGAAGGAGGTCGGAATTTTTTAATAGAGATTGCATGGAAACTCCTTAATTGGCTAACGAAGACCAAATTATCCAAATTGAAAACACAGGGACTAAATTGACCTCATGACTATAACGCATGGACCATTTTGACATGTAAACCTATCCAATATAAATAAATCAACCTTTAAGTGGTCTACTACATGTAAGAGGAATGTAATATTGGAGAATAATGTAGATTGTGATTTGAACTCTTAAGGTATCAATCTTATATTAAGTGTCTTATAATATAAGTAGGATTGATGGAGTCCTTAATTACTTGTGATTATGATACCTTTCTTGGTAGCTAAGAAAGTGAGATTAGGTTTCCTTTTTGGACGGAAACCCTAGTTCTTAGCTTGTACAAATACTAAGGTCCCTGCAAATCTTAGATACACATAACATAATACTTCTCATAAAGTAGTTGTATCCGGCTAGGTGTTTGTAAGACCTTGGTTACCGCGGCCTCCACCCTCTCCGTTTAGCCTTCAATGGCTACCGCTTCATGATCAGGCAAACCAACTCTTTCATTTGTGTTTTATTGTGTAACCATATAACTCTAACAGTTGGTTCAGAGCCATTGATTATATATATGATTAAAACCTATTAGGTTTAACGTTGGATTATATACATGAACTGCATGTTTAATCCAAGTTGTGATTGCATATGCTTGGCAACACCACCATATGCTGTTTATATCAGTGGAAATTGTTGATTATGATCAGGTTGTATAATTATTCTGTTTTAAACAAGATTATTTCTTAATGGTCTTATGGCACGAATTTGGACATATTAATAAAAAAAATAGCTATAAATCGTGTATCAATCCTAGAATCATACAGGAATTTGGAGAAGCATATATACATGTGTGTATCGTGCTATTATGTAAGGTTTTACTGTATTTTGCTGTGGGATCTAAACATGGAGTTGAAGTACTATAGAATTTATATATAATATTTTTCATAGAATTCAAGTATGAAATTTAAATAATGGTGATGATTCCTTCGAAATCCAACAGTTTTCCAAATTCCAAATTATACATAGAGTAAATTGCTGATTTCTCCTCTGAATTTTCACTTAACTTTTGATTTTTCCCCTAAACTTTTTAGTTGGAAAATTAAGAACTTAATCTTTTTTTTTGGCCAATTTCCCCTGCTGTTAGTTTTTCATTCATTCCATCCAAATTTATGTTAAATGGAAGCATGTGCACAACATGTAAGGTAGTCCGGTCACTTCGTTCTTTAGAATAATTAAAAACCCTAGATTTGTAAAATGTCGACCTATGCAAATATTTGTGATTCTATAGTTTTTTTGTATGAAAGTCTAGTGAAGTGACGCTTTTATTCTCAAATGAGTCACGTGGTTTGCACGTGCAGGGCCGGCCCTGAGAATTTAGAGGCCCTGTGCAAGATTAAGATGGAGGCTCTTCATTTTTTAATACTGTATTTTCTTTGTTATTTTTTTTTAAATTTGTATCTATAAAATTTAAATACTACAAATTAGAGCACCACTTTGAGTGGACAAGAGTGTTTTCTGTCTTGAAAGGTCTTCAATTCGAAATATGTTGCACGGTTTTTTGTGTAAAACTTAACAACTTTTTAAGTTAATAAATTTGCAAAACTTAAAAATAGCAAAATAGTTCTACAAGGACTCAAACCCGGGCCATGTACAAGAAGATTGAACGCCTACACCACTAGCACTGGTGTGGTGATTATTATTAGGAGTAATTAGGTTTTCATCCTTATTTTTACTACTCTATTGATTAAAACCTTATTACTTTTCAATTTTTGATCAAGGTCCTTTGTATTAATAATATCATTAATTATTTCAATAATAAAATATTTTTTATTTCTAAATATATTCATTTAATATTAAAAATGTTACAATTAGTATATTTATACTTATGGCTAAATTTTTTATCATATATTTTTATTTTTAGTTTGTACCCATTTTTAATTTGCAACCCTTTTTTAATTTGTACCAATTTTCCTTTCAGTTTTAATTTGTACCCATATATTAAATTCTTTTTGTGCCCATATTTTTTAAAGTTTTATTTGTATTGTACCCATATTTTTTTATTTATTTGTACCCATTTTTATTTTTGCTAAATGTACCCATTTTGAAGAATGTACCCATGTTTTGATACAATAATTTTTTGGTTATTTTTATGAATGTACCCATGTTTACACACACACACACACACACACACACAATAGTATATTTATATTTTAATATTTTTAATCCCACAAATTATGGTTTTTTATTTAAAATCTCATTACTATAAACAACTATAAATTTTAATTTTTAATTTAAAAAATATAGTAACGTACATAGAAATAAATTATCAATTAATTTCAGGGACTTGGATCAAAAATTGAAAACCAATAAGGTTTCAGTCAAAGATTGTTCATAACTAGGGACCGCATCCAAAGTCTCCCTTATTATTATCTTGCACATTTAAGTATATAATAGTATATGTTTACATGTAAAGAAACTTTGGGGATCCTTCCGAATTGGGGGCCTTGTGCAGTGGCACCTTTTGCACACCCTCAGGGCCGGCTCTGTGCACGTGATAAGAATTAACGTTAACTTGGATAGCATTTTTATGCTGGTAGTTTACGCTCATACCTATTATAATTATATAATAATATATGGTTAGGTTGATGGCATTTTTATGCAGGCCTTTTTTATTGCATATAATATGTTTTGGTCGAACCACCAAAGTCTGGAGGTTGCTAGTATTTTGATCAAGCAAGTACATGTAATTTTTTATAGGCATTTATGTATATAGGTTGTCCCTACTACATTTCTTCTCAAAAAAGATTTAAGTCTGAGTCTCATTTAATTTCCAAAAACATCAAACAAGCACAGAACGCGTCGCAACGTTGAAGCTGGCAAAGCTTGATGGCAACAAGTATCCACTCTGATTTGTTGCATATCTTGACCGTAGATTGTGGCAAATGTGGGACCTCACTTAAAATGCCAGGTCCTAAATCATCAATAATTATAAGGAACGGTTCCAACTAATTATTTCTAAAACATTAAGAGACCTCATCCATTTGTGACTCACAATGTCTGAGGACTCGATGCATGTTTTAGTGTATTGTGATCGTCCTTGGGTTAGGTTTAAGATTAATTCAAGGTTAGTTAATCAAAATTAATTATACGTATTTATTTTGTTTTATCAGAACAAAGCAATTATAATTGCAAATATGAATTAATCAAGTTAGTTAGAGTAATATGAATTTAGTGTAAACTTCAAAATAAGCTAATCGCGATCATTTCATTTCCAATTCTACTGCCCAGGTCTACTGGAGTGATACCATGCCCATGAACCCATTTAAGTGCAAAGTTTTATTTCAATTTCTGACAATTGAATCTGACCCACAATTCCTAATTAACGCGCATTAACAAATTTTTTTTCCTATACGATCTTCTAAACAATGTATCTTTAATACAGAAAAGTGATATGAACTTGAACGATACTATGCCTTAACCAATTGACCTAATGCATTTGCAACATGTTAATTTTATTAGTTTTAGTTGGCCAAGTAAAGCCACCTATTTCCATGCCTTATTTGTCCAACCAGTTGTGCTAGGCCAGAAGATTTTTCAGAACCACCAAAATAACTCCATCACATGCAGCTTAGACATGCCTTTTAACTCATAATGCCTCCACCTGCTATCCTCTCAACCACCCTATGCAACCGCATATTTAATACCCAAAAAAAAAAAAAAACGTTTTGTCTTCAAATTATCACAAGAAATTAAAGTAAAGCAAGACCAAAAGGGTCAGTAATTTATTATGTTTGGGCATTAGATTGAATAAATCAATGATATAACGGACAAAATGTGTGTGATTGTCATTTCCTAATTTTTAGTGTGGGTAATTAAATCCATAAAACCAGTTGATCTATCATTCAATGCGTAACCAGAAACTTCAAAAGGGCCATTTTCAAAAGCACTTTATAAGTTCCAATTTCACAACACAAAGCACTTCTGTTTTTCACAACATGGAAAGCCATTTCTTGAGAGCAGCAGCTTTTGGTTTGGTTTTGGCTTTTGCGTTTGTGATTGGAGGAAATTATGCACAAGAGTCAACCACACTTGTTCCGGCAATCATGACGTTTGGAGACTCTGCAGTTGATGTGGGCAACAATGACTACCTCCCTACCATTTTCAAGGCTAATTACCCTCCTTATGGAAGGGACTTTGTGAGCCATCAGCCTACTGGGAGGTTTTGCAATGGCAAACTGGCAACTGACATCACTGGTAAGTTGAAAATTTAGCTTCCAACAAAAGTGCTTTTGTTATTAACAATATTAAACAGTAATTAATTGCTTCTTAATTAGCATAATGGGCAACTTAATGTTGATCTGCATAAGATTTTTAGTTAACAGAACTGAAAGTTTAAATTGTTAGTGAAATTAATGACTGTTTAGCCGCTTTTTTTTCTTTTGCAGCTCAGAATTTAAGTTCTTTAGATTAATAATATGGTCACTTTAGCTGCATTTGCGATTAATTTCTATTAGAGCGAGCATGTTAACTGATGATATGATATGGTAGCTGATGTATTAATTAACAGTTGTCAGTAGTAATTGATACATGATTTGATGTAATAAGTGCGCATCAACTGCCTCGTAGTTCTCTAATGTGGTTAGAGAATATGATTTTTCTTGCATTATTCTTCGTGATCAGTAGTTAATTAGAATATCCAAGGAAATTTAATTGACAGGTAAAAATCTAATCTTATGTCTTTATATATGCAGCCGACACTCTGGGGTTCACTACTTATCCGCCGGCGTATCTTAGCCCCCAAGCATCAGGGAAAAACCTTCTGATCGGAGCCAACTTCGCTTCAGCTGCATCGGGTTACGATGAAAAGGCAGCAACCTTAAACGTAAAATTCCAATCTTATTTATAACAGTAGTATATGCTATGAACTTATATATGTATTATGTTTTTATATACAAACGATTCCGGGGAGGGGGTTTTGAACACAGGATCTCGGGTGCAAGGATAAACGCTGTTATACATATGTTAATGTCGTAACTTTGATACGATTGAACTTGTGTGGAATGCAGCATGCAATCCCATTGTCCCAGCAGCTGCAATATTATAAGGAATACCAGACAAAGCTCGCCAAGGTAGCAGGCAGCAAGAAAGCGGCGTCGATCATCAAGGATGCTCTCTATTTACTGAGTGCCGGAAACAGTGACTTTCTTCAGAATTACTATGTCAACCCTTTTGTTAACAAAGTCTACACTCCTGACCAGTATGGCTCCATCCTTGTTGGTGTCTTCCAAGGCTTCGTTAAGGTGTATATCTGCTCATTGCTCCTCTTAAATAGTTCTAATCGTAATAAAACGATAATTCAGTTATTGCACCCGACTTTTACCTCATTTAAGTGAATCTCACTAACATTAATATATCACTTGTCACGCGGACTACGCTAATCAAGTAACGGAATTTTGGTTAAATTTCTATTTTAGATTTCTGATTGTGAAACTAAGGGCTCGTTTGAGAGGGATGGTTTGATTCAAAACTAATTTACCTTGTCATTAAATCCGCGAATCCTTTTTTTCAAACATTTCGTCCAAATGGATCCTAAGGTTTTGCTACGCTTCCTTGAAAACTAGGATTTGTACCACCTGGGAGCCAGGAAGATCGGTGTGACCTCACTCCCTCCATTGGGTTGCCTTCCGGCTGCAATCACCTTATTTGGAAACCATGAGCAAGGATGTGTCGCTAGAATCAACTCCGATGCCCAAGGGTTTAACAAGAAGATAAACTCCGCAGCGGGAAATCTCCAAAAGCAACTTTCCGGTCTTAACATCGTCATCTTCGACATTTACAAGCCGCTCTATGATGTCATTAAAGCCCCAGCAAATTACGGTACTGAACTAAGTCTCAACCTGTAGCCTAACGAAAAAATATATCTACTTGAGAAACAATATAAGCATACGGATTATAAGAACCTATTATTTTCTCTGGTAATCTTACAGGATTCACTGAAGCGAGGAGAGGTTGCTGTGGAACGGGAATTGTAGAGACAACATCACTGCTGTGCAATCCCAAGTCGATTGGAACTTGTTCTAATGCGACTCAATACGTGTTTTGGGACAGCGTCCATCCGTCTCAAGCCGCTAACCAAGTTCTTGCCGATGCATTGATCACCCAAGGCATCTCCCTCATTGGATAAGGGGATTATATGGATCTTTCTATATCTCAAAAAAAATGTTTAAAGACTGCTACTACTTGCTTTTAGATACTGCTATGTTTACAAAGATAGCGACTCAAAAGCTTAATAAGTTGTATGCAATTTGTTAATTTATCAAATGGTTATAAAAGGTCTTGTTTTGTTAATTGAGAGAGAGAGAGAGAGAGAGAGAGCAACATTTAGCTAAACATCATGTTCTAATTGATTACTATTGAAGAGATTTACAGATCCAATTTGTCAGATTTAAGCTAAACGTTTAGCAAATCTTTTGCAGTGATTTGCAAATTTACCAAAAGAAAGCATCAAATGCTTTGATCGGAACTGTAGTAGTAAAAAGCTATATGGCAAAAGGAAAAATGCCACCGTTTTTTAGCTCAAGTAGCGGCCACCCTTAGCGAACATGGACGATCTGCGCTGGTCCTGGTACCATTTGCCACCTTCAAAACTTGAGCTGCTGCTTTCTCAGAACTGTTCAACTCCCACAGCATTCCCGATGTTCCTGTTATCTGTGCTGCACGCCCAGGCTGGAGAGAGACACAGCAGATAACAACAATGTTATAGAGTCACTTGTCAATGAAACATAAAAATCCTCTGAATCGAAAAAACATGATTACTCAGAGACCTGAAGGTTCTCAACAAACAAGCGGCGTCGATCCCTTAGAGTTGTCTTCGAGTTGGAGCTCCCAGTGATTGATGCTTCAGTGAGAGGAGCTCTGCCTCCTGTAGTTGCTGATCTTGAACTTCCTGCAGCGGCTCCACTCTGTTTGTAAACCTTCTTCCGGTTTCCTGTAGCTTCATAACCTCCATGATTCCAAGAGTTGGTATGAACATTTGAGTTAGCATATGTCCTGGACTGTTAAAAACAGGCGAAAGTAACAAAACAATCAGTTCAAGCCACAACAAAAGCCAGCATTATAACTTGAGACAATTTTCTTGTCGTACAAGTAACGAAAACTGAACCTACATTCTTCTGGAAATTCTCATTCCTAGTGCTGCTACCCCACTGTGGTTGTCTGCTTAGAACCTGTGACATCATGAATCAAGTAAAAATAGCTAACACTAAATACACACATGCAGAAACACACACAAACGATGAGGCTGATTAGGAAATACGATGGATTACTTACAAAAGGGTAATGCGCATCAACATTAGTACCAAAACTTTGATGCATGACTGGCGGGCATAACAGAGGAACCGTAGGAGGCCTTGGGGAAACGCTGTACTGGACCGGGTGCAGGGCAGGCCAGTTTGGAGATTGCAAAGATCTTTGTGGTAGCTGAAGAGTACAGTAATCTTGCAAAGCCTTGCAGCGATCTTCTTTTCGTTGAGCTACAGCCACATAAAGTTTTCGTCCTTCAAACATAGCTCCTGAGAAAAACAAACTCAAATCAGACAGTCATAAACCAAATATAGGCTTAACAGATGCAAAAGCATGAAAAGACACAACAAGATCTTGTTTACCATTAAGATTACTGCGAGCTTTTGCAGCTTCTTGAAGAGTTGAGAAGCAAACAAAACCAAAACCTCTGCTCATCCCGTTGCCATCACGCATCACTTTCGCAGATAGAATCTTCCCAAAGGCACTGAAATGTTCTCCTAATTTGCTATCATCAACAGATTCAGCTAGATTCTTAACATAGAGATTCATAGACTCAAGTTTCTCAATCTGACTGTTCAGCATTTCCTCTTTACATTTTAAAAGCCTTTCCCTCTCAGCTTTCCTTTGAGCCCTTCCTACAAACAAATGTTTTGATCCTGATCCACATTTTGAGTTTGTTTATTAGAGAAAGTTGCAGACACATTTATACTATCAACAAAAAACGCTACAATGTGATTAACTCAGAGGTTTACCCAGCAGTGCACCATTCATTCCCTCAACAGCCTTCTTAGCCTCTTCTGGTGACTCAAAGTTGACAAACCCGAAACCTTTTGACTTCCCTTTCTCATCCTTCATGATGACAAGACTATGAACACTTCCGTACTGAGAGAACATCTCTCGAAGCAGATCTTCAGTTACATGTTCATCCAGATTTTTCACAAACAGATTCGTAAATTTGGATTCATCCTGGGCTGGTATCCTCTCACTTTTCTTCACAAATTTCGATACATATCTAATGAAAAATGAGGGAAAAAAATTATTGACAAACAAATAATAATATCACTAAATGCAGAAACTATAAACAACACATGTAAATGCAGAAACTACAAGAGAGTTCTTTATATCAATTATAATTAACAACAAATGCAAAACTAGTTTATCGATAAACATGTAACCATTAACCAATTTATCGATACCATGTATGAAAAGGGATCTCAACACTTTTGACAAGACCATCTATAAACAATCAAACCTCACAAAAACAAACAAAATGAAAGAATAAACAAGACAAAAGGAAACAGAGGGCGTACAACTTCTTCCCCTTAATGATTGTATCATTGAGAGCATTGACAGCAGCCATAGCCGATTCCTCTTTTTCAAACTGGACAAACCCAAAACCCTTGCTCTTCCCATTTATTTCGGCTACCTTGCAAGAGAGTATAGTCCCGAACTCCCTGAACATGTCCTGCAAGTGAGTGCTGGTGATTTCAGGGTTCAGGTTCTTCACAAAGACATTTCCAAGACCAGTTTTCCTTGGAGCGGGATCCCTCTGATACCACATTATTCTCATGGTTTTCCCTTTCAGCTCAGTGTAGTTCAGACAAGCCATAGCCTTGGATGCTGACCAAAACAGACCGAAAGCTTGTCAAGAAATCTAACCAAAAAATCATACACGATAACAGAGGAGAAGAAATTAAGGACGCGAAAACCCATTTCAGAAAAATAGAAGAGGAAAATCCCAAAATTAAACCCTAATAAAAAAAATATAGGTACCCATTTCAAGAAAGACATTCTTTAAGCCCAAGAAACAGAACCATTGGAAACCAATTTATGGAAATTGAAATTCGGTTCTCCATTAGCAAGAATTCCCCAAAACCCTAATCAAATAGCTAGATTAACGAACCCTAGGGGCATCAGAACTAGAATAAAACTCCAAGAAAAAACCTATTAAAAGAAACCCATTTCATAGGTTCATCCATGAACAAGAAAACGAAAACGTAACCAAGATTTAGATATTCACACAAAGAATTTCAGAGAGAGAAACAGAGAGATGTACAGAGAAGCAGAGCCACCATTGTTGAAAGAAAAGATGAGAGAGAGAGGGTGGGGTTTTTGGTTACCGTGAGAGTGTGAGTAGAAGTTGACATAGCCGTAGCGGAGGGACTCGCCGGAGTGAGAGTCACGGCAGACACGGACGGAGGCGATGGGACCGATGAAACGAAAAGTAGCGAGGAGGTCGTCGTCGGTGACGTATGGGTCCAGGTCGCCTACATACAGCGAGAACTTCTTCTCAGGATCGGCCGGCGCCTGCGGTCGCACCGTTACTGTCGGCGTTAGTGGAGGGGCTGGTGGTGGTGGCGGCACTGGGGTTTTGGGGTCTGAGAGCTCTGCCGCCATTTTCCTTGCAGTTCAAGAATTGCAGCTCAGAGAAGAGGGAGAAATTGAGGGGAGAGAGGGGGAGAGAGAGAGAGAGAGAGAGAGAGAGAGAGAGAGAGAGAGAGAGAGAGAGAGTTGTCTGTTTGTTACAACGGAGAGGGAGGTGTGTGATACTGTACGGGTATAAAAAGCGGTTAAGAAGGCGGGAATTTCTATACGACGTCGTTTGATTAGGCGTTTTAAGTTCGTGTACGATACAGTTGGCATCCAATCCACAGCCGTTGGGAGGTATGCTTTAATCTAATTTGGACGGTTGTGATTGTGCTTGCCCAAGTTAGAAAGATAAACCTAATCGAATGGTTAGATTTAACCATGTAAGAAAAGAGGAAGGCTTAGTGTCACTAATTCACTAGTTTCTTTTACCTCACAGATATTATGTACAATTTTTTTTTATTTAACGCACATAAATGATATATATCTGTTTGGACCCGATTTTACATTACCGGCCCAAGTAATTGAGGCCGTTGGATGAGCGGATTCTAGACTATTGAATTTTAATATTTTTCTAGGTATTAATACTGAATTTGGGCGATCTCCAAGAAATCAAGAGTTTAAAACGGAAGAGTCCAGCTTGAGATTGAGATTGGTATCATGCATGTACGTGAAGGATTGGAAGACTATCTCCCATGCATTTATGCAAATATAATGGAGATAAAGATGGGATTAGATTATCATTAGCCAATAAAGGTGCTTGGATAAAGGTGCTGTTTATTTTGAACTCAGGCACGGGAAAATATGGGATAAAAGATGGCATATGCCATTTTATCCCATGTGATCTTACATGATGACTCGGTAATTGTTGATTGGGATAAAGATGGCTGTGGCTTATCATCAGAGATGGTGGGATGTCCACGACTTTAATTCTCCAGCACGGCTAAGAGTTTTGATGCTATAAATACGAGAGCGCAAGCAACATCAGAGGATCTCTACAAATCAATACAAAATTGCCCTGCGCAAATTCTCACAGCTTGTGATTTTTCTTTTTCCTTTTTCGCTGACACATCTTCCGTTGGCATCAACAGCACTGTGGAAGCAACTGGTGATATCTTAAGTCGGCATAGATAGCTCTGTCACCGTAGAATCAATCGGTCTCGCAGTTTTTCTTCCGTTGGCATCAACAGCACTGCGGCGAGAACGGTTGATTACCTATCCAAGTCTCGGTCGAGAAGGGTCTCTGAACCCTTATTGGTCGAGGTCATCTCATTAGCCTTCTCGGCAAAGTGAGGTGTTACAGTTATTACATTCGGCACATTGAAAGCCGAATTTGATATTGAACTTCGTAAGAATAGTAACCTTGTCTTCAAGTTCGAGAGCCCAAGAGGCCGAGACGTGTTCCTTTCTCGGCCGCAATCGCAAGACGCAGAAATCAGTAGCGCGACCTAACGCAACATCAACAAATTTACTCCTCGGCCGAGCTCGGCCGACGAGTTGGCACGCCCCGCAATC